GCAGTTGAAAAAATCTATGAAGGTTAGGAAATAGCATGTGATTCTTCACAGAAATTGTTTAGCCATATTATCTTCCCCTTGTTCTACCCTTAATCAACTCTGTTGGGGAAGTGTGTGGGATTCTGAGTTCTTTCCCTCTCTCGCTCAGTCTTGTTGAATTTGGTCAGTGGCCTTATACAGAGGATTGTCGCATCGTGTGTGATTTCTCTCGTTGCTCTATAGGCAAAAAGACCAAGTCAATTCTTTAATTCCCCCAGCCGATCGTGTAGGTGATCGCGTACAAAGGTTCCTGTCATGCCATCGATCCTCCCGTTGAGCAAGACGGCCGTCTTGATTTTTGTGTGCAGTTAATATTTGTGTGACTGGGCAATATCTGGTGGTGATATTTTCAGCATTCTTTCCGCTTCATCACGCCGCACATGATCTTCGATCATGATGACCGTGTGGCGATCGCGCAGATCGTGGTGATCATTTGCTGCAGCTGTGGGACTTTTATGCATCTCCCCAAACACCCGTTGTCATCATCATTTCCCCAATATATACTGCACGCCACATGTATAGGAACATCAAGCATCAACTTTTTGATGGTGATCGTCATCAGCATTACATTTAGCTCTTGAACTCTCCCTTCATCCGCCCCAAATGCGATCGTGACAAACCGGTTGGCGATCGCGGGAAAAAGTCTCCACATTCGGGCGCTTATTGTTGTATTATTTCACCTCTTTGAGCATCTTATATACCACATGTGAGAGAGACACTGAAAAACTTCCCCCTTTCATCCCCGCGCGCGCGCGCCAACCACAGATATATATTCCCAAATATCGCTTCGCCTTTTAGACAAGATCAGTCTTTTTGTCCAACAAAAGCAACAGCAGAAAAAAAAGACAGAATCCAGCGGCAAAGGAGGAAAAAATCCCATCCCAAGAGATGGAGAGATCGTTTTATACGAAAAGAGATGCTTTTTTTTCTTCTTCTTTTCTTCAACATGTCGCGATCGCTTGTATTGGTGAACAATGAATTTCATTTGTGTGCTTTTTTCTTCTCTCTCTCGATCGCATCTCATGTGGAGGTGATCATCGAAAACAGCCAAACGATCATTATAATGTTAAATTATCAAAATGAGATAACATTTAGTGCCCGCTGACTCCCTTTGCCGTGGAAAGTGATTCAGGTGAGAGGATAAACAAAATTGAAATCGTGTGAATTTTATGTGTCATATAATTTTTATTGGACCAATGTTGAATGTAATATAATTCACATAAAAATTCGAGACTCGTGGAGTTGAGGAGGAGAAATGGGTTCCTCGCGATGTCACTGGACGACGGAAATTTCAATAAAACTCACAAACTGTCTCGTATTTCAGCGCGATCGCGGAAGAAAACGGGTCAAGATCACACAGGATCGCGCGCAACTCGCAGATATATATGGATTATTATGTGGCCTAACGAAGTTATTGGCGACCCCACAGGGTTTTTCATAGGTCCAAATCGCGATCATCATTGACTATGCAATCCTGTGCGTTGCATTATTGCCATCCCTCGGCGTCTTGAGACTGCGTCTTGGGACCTCTTGGTGTGGTCGAATTTAAAATTCAGCCCATTTTCATATAGTCGCGCTCGCGTCAAGAAGTATTTTGAATATTTCTGCATACAAAAGAGCCCATGGAGATATTTTATTATTGTCAGGTCTCTCTCTCTGTCTCCCTCTATGGGGCTCAGGTAAATTCTTCTCTCATTTATATTTTCTTGCACAATCAACGAGTCTTTTATCCACCCTTTCCTACCCCGCGAGCCACCAAAAGTCCACGGGCTGCGGCGCGGCCATTTGGCAAGGAGGTCTGCACGCAAACCTTTGGCAAACACTCCCCGATCAAAATTGCAAGAAGACAGAGAGAATGTGTGTGTTCAAGGTGATCTTTCTTGTGGTGACTTTTCACAAAACTCCGGTGCGCGGAAGGCATAAAAGACAGCATCTCGCGGTGTGTTTCCGCTCCGTTTCGTGATGCGCAATTGCTCGGGCGAAAGATTGACAGAAGAAGCGGCGAGCTCAAGTGCAGCAATCAGTGATCAAGAGCAGAGGAACATGATCACACACAACTCGAGGGATGATCAGCGGAGTTAAATAAGCGCACATCAATAATTTACACGCGAAATTGTATAATTTTTGCAACAAATTCTGCGCTGAGAGGCAACAAGTTAACAATAAATGTTGGAAAAGATGTATTGTACAAGTTTCTGGTGATCATCCCATATGTTTTATTTATAAGACACGCTGCAATGCGCGGATCATTCTTCATCGAAAATACCCAGAGCAAACCGAAAAAGCCCGGCCTTTTTTTCACACACAAACACACAAAAACATCACGCGGATCAAACCGACATTTTTTCCAGCACCACCGGAACCTCTCTCGCCTTTTTCCTTTCGCATCCCACCACATGAGAATGATTATGACGAGGGTTAAATGTGGTGCAAAAGAGAGAATCAGAGATGATTCGAGTCTCGCCATTCATACAATAGATGTTTTGGGGGGAATTTCTCATGGCATATTAGCATATTTCGCCCAGGATCTGCATATTATGTTGCAGAGTCGCCTCCATATTGATTGAAGATCGCTAAAAGTGATTTTCATGGGCGCAATTCGGCCGAAATGCGGTCGGCATGTGTTTTGGATTTTCTGCCCCAACGATCGCATAATTAAGGATCACCCCTTTTGTTGCCGCACCGAATCAGGATAATCTGTTTTTCGTTAACCATAGTCTCTCTCTCTCCCAGGCAGTTTTTCATCATCAGCATGTGTTGTGTGCTGAGAACATAGTGCTTGAGAAGATTCTCGTTTCTTCTTTCTTTCACTGGAGGAGATCGATTTTAACAAATTGATATTCCTATGAGATATCCCAGAAGATGAGACTCCAGTGGTAATTTAATATCTCATGTGTAGATTGAGGATCATCTGTGATCACTGTCGAGAAATGGTGGAATGTGTTCGTCCCGGGACAAGTTGAGGGAGAGAAGAAAAGATGTGTGTTGTGGTGAAGGAAGAAGAGGCAATCCGGCAATTCTAATTTACATAAAATACTAGGGAGAGAAGAAGGCATAAAAAATAAATTAAAAATGGCCGCACTTATGTTAATTCCCAGTCGATACAGCAAGTTCTCTTGGACCCTCAGATCACTCTCTTTCGCTGCTTGCGATCGCGGCCCCGAAATGTTGATCACGCGGCCAAGATCGCGGCCGCCGCGGAGTTTTATATTCAAATTTTTCTGACCTCTCCTTATAATCTAATATACGGATTATGTTTCTTCCCCTCCGCAATTTGACGCACAAAGCGAGAGAGATCCGTAGACTCGATCATAGCCAACCACACTAGGCAATCCGACTGATCATTCCGCGCATTTCTCGATGGCCGAAGGAGCACATTTGCCATGGCGAGGCAACAATGGGAGTTTGTATGTTAATTGGCTCATATAAGACTTTTCGTCTCTGTCGCTTACGGTGGATGGTCAAGTCTTATCACAGCGGCCAATCTTTCACATACAAATGACTTTTGGGCACCGAGCACATCCAAAAAGATAACCGAATTGTTTCCAATCTCCCCGCGCGCGGGCGCGTTCCACTGAAAAATCAGCAAAATACGCTCAGCGCCCGCAATTTTCCCATTGCCAGCATACTTACACTTACAACCCAGCGAGAGAGAGAGAAATAGAAAACAATTACACAATGTTAATAAGCAATTCCGCGGACGTGGAGAAAAGACTCGTCAAGAGCACAATGATCGCGCAATAAGTTGGGCAAATTGTGAACATGGCGCGATAGTTGGCCATAGTTGAAATAAATAATATTAATGAGAGTCATAACCAAAAGCTGGGCCATTGAAGACACTCTCGTCTTGGTTGAGGGGAATAGTTTAGACTGAGAGTGAGAGAGAGACTTCAGGTAATTAATATTCGCAATTTACGAATCATTTTTCTTAAAGAATGACTACGGTTTTTTTTTAATTTTTTTTTCATCATATGCTCGTCTGTCTTTCAGGCTCGCGTGCACTCGGAAAAATCCATGCTGCAGAAAAACCACTTGAAATGAAGGTTGAGGTTAAACACATGATGAATCGGTGTGATTATGCATTATTATCAAAGAAAAGAAGAAATATTTTCAATTATAGTGAAAGTATGAAGCATTTGTATAGACAAAGAGTGCAATTTTCATTATTTAAACGCAAATTTAGAGGACTAATTAGTTGTTAAAGTGTTGATTTTAAGTATTTTTCCCATTAAATTGTGCTTATAAGCTAATTTGTATCGATAAAGTGGAATACGGCGCTTAAGGAGAGATTCCATTGCGTTTCCTGGGAATAAACTGAGCACAACAAACTGAGCACAAATTTGCTAAATCGTATTTTTACTCATTAATGGCTTTAGAATAGTTTCTAAAGCCCTAAAACAGTACAAAAAATCCCTTAAAATTGCTCAGATTATGAGGATTTCAGTTATTCCTGGGAAAACAATGGAATAACACTCTTGAACACTGAATTTCTCTGAGTGTAGAGCAAATGAGAAGTGCTCGTGAGAGACACACCGGCTGTGATATTAAATACACCAATTTGTTATAATTATGCAAATATGATGAGGGCAATTTTTGTCGTGATCACACATTGTATGTCTTGGCGGGAAAAATTTCACTCGCATCTAATCTGCTCGCCCGCAAAAATTCCTCCTCTCTATGATGATGGAAAATGCTTTTTGTGATGGAGAGTCTCTTTTGGGGGCCACAAAATGCTTTCTGTGTGTGTGGAAATTAATCATTTGGGGCCTTTTGTTTTCACCCACATACGGCGTCACATCCAACACACATTCGGAATCACTCATAAAAACACACATCCAAAAAAATCTCCACACTCTTGTGCGAATTGTAATTGCATAAATGGAAAATATTCATAAATATTCTCGGGGCAGAACACACGACATTCTCAGGGGGGGGAAGGAAAATTAGCGAAAGAGACTCACCTTTTCTAACTCTAGGAGGTGAAACCGAAGTACTTGAATTGCTTGCACCATCTGTAAAGACACAAGACACACAATTAGACACAAATCGTCCGTTTTGGGGTGGAGAAAATCACTTTCCGGGCAATTTGCTGAAGGGTTTTTTCGGTGGAGATTGAAATTTCCACTCTGAGTGTCATTTAATTAAGCCAAACCATAAAGATCATCTTCACCTTCTCACACTGGCCATTGCTCAAGAGCCCACCGGACGGTGCAAAACGTACAAAAGCCGCGAGATTTATTTTTGACTATTTATCATCTTAATACTGTCTCTTCTGCGTCCGCCCACGATTTGGCCTCACAATTCTCCTCTCTTTTTTATACAAATCTCAGAGAATTGTAGACTAATTCACAAGATTTTCCTTTGCTCCGGAAAAGAGCAATTCTCTGGGTCACTCTTTCCTGTGTCGCCCAAGATGATCCCCCAAGAAAACAATAAGAAAATGTGAAAAATGACCTCTGTCGAGCCCACGTGCGATCACCAGATTGAGGAGGATCACGAGTCTTTCCTTTCCGCACCCAAAAGTGGCAATTAAAAATTCTCCTTGTAATAAAAATATTGGCTTCTTTTGACAGTGAAAAAGTGACTCTCCAGCGCAAAAACCAGAAATCCACACCATGGCAAAAATCCATACAGTGTTCAAGATGATGTTCGATCAATTTTTTTTTGTTTCAACGTTTATTTACTTCTTCCAGCGAATTTCAAGCAAAAATACAGCACAATGCCAAGAGAGAGAGAGAGAGAATTGTACCTGCAGAAAAACATCGTGGAGTTAATTTAAATTCTCAAAATGGTGATTTTATACTTGGCGGCCAATGGAGCGATCGTGAGTGGATTTGCATTGAGGATCAATACAGATCTTCTGCAATTTGTCAAGATGGAATTTTTTTCCTTCTTTCTCTCACTCGAATTGAGATCTCTGGGAGTGAAAAATTATTGGACATTCCGAGCGGAAAATAGGAAAATACAAGCATATCAATCTTGTGAAATGATCAAATTGAGATGGTCGATCTTGCCGCGCATTTTATAAATGATCTCACTTCGCGGAATTGATCTTCTCTGTTGGCTCTTCAGGTGCCTTTTTCAAGCACAAAAACACACATCAAATTACGATCCCGTTTGGTGGATTTCTGGTGAATCTGGGGAGTGACAGAGTTTGGCTTTCTCAGTCTCGCACAAAAGCAAACATTTTCAGTGTAATTAAGCGACACGATCGCGATCATGTCACTATATATAAAGATCAATTAGTATGCAAATGATCGCATGGACTTTTCTTTCTCTCTTTCTCAAATCATCCTTCATTGACTCAATTAAAATAGCACAACACACAATTTTCTTTATAGCTCTGCTCTTTTGTCAAGACTTCTCTTCTCTCTTGGGGAGAAAAAAATAATTACAGCATGTCTCAAAACTGGCAAGCGAATCGAATTTGATTCACAGACTCTCCAACAGTCACGGAAATCCATCTAAGAGAGTTGTGTATTTTGTCTTTGACTTGAAAAACTGTGCGATTTGTGCAGAAATTCGCAGAGTGAAAAATACCATCTAAAGCTAAAGTGTGTGTATGGGAAGTTTAACCCTTTTTAATGCACCAAATAAAAACGTCCACGTTAATTTATTGCAGATAAAAGTAAACTTTTCAAAATGTGTATTCTCTCCCCCTCTCTCTCTCGCTCACTCAACACCCACAAAGAGAGGGAGAGAGAGAGAGAGAAAAAACCACGCCATTACAATAAAAATGTCTTGTAAATTCGCACAATAATTTTGATTTATGGAAGATCGCTGAGACAGAGTATCAAATCTCAAATTACTCGACTTTTATTCATGTTATGGCCAGTCAATGAATTTTTTATTGCACCCTCCAAATGTGTTTATACAGCCACAGAGTCTCTTAAAATGTTTTCAATATATGCTTACATCATAAAACTATACAGATTTCTCTTTGGACTCTTTTTTTCTTGGCCTTTCTCCACACCAAACACACTTCAAATGTTTATTGTTATATTGTTAATTTACATCTGCCTGTGAATTTTCGCCTGATTTTCTGTGTGATTTATGGCCAAGGAGACGGTAATTCTTGATCCTTTTTATTCCCCAATTCTCCATCCTTTAAATATCAAACACTCAATAAGAATACTTACAAGTGAGTCTACTTCGGGATCTGCTATGTAGTAGGGCTTTTCTGATCGTATCTGCAAAGAGATTACAAGAAAAAAGAAACACATTAGACACTCTCTCTCTCGATCGACGCCAATTAGAACGATATTGGAAAGGGAAAACGGCTCGAGAATCAAGGTGAAAAAGACTTGAGGCACACCTCAAAATAATAGAGCAATTCATCTTGGAATTTTTCCAAGAAATCACCCAAGACAGACAATTAAGTTCAGGAGGACATTGAACATGACTTGGAAAATAATCAGCCTTTCCTTCTATTGTAATTAAACATCACCAGAGGCTTTCCATGAGATTTTCCGCAGCTGATCGTATAATTGATTAATTGAAATTACCCCACCAATTAGAGGTATTCAGTTGTGACTTCGTGAATGTCTCGAAAGTGGTTGTTAAATAGAATTATGTAGCATTTTTCTTTCAATTCACGCAACTAATGAGATAAAAATGTCCACCAATTGATGGGAAAATTCAGAAAATGCTGTGAATTTTGCAAGTTTAAATTACCATTAAATCCCACCCCTCGAAAAAAACACCTCCTTAAACATTGCAAAACTGATTGTTAAGCGAGCAAAAAAAAACAAGTGCGAATTTTACGCGATTATTTGACTTTATTGCCCACAGGATAAATCAATATATGGCCAGATTTGGTGTGAGATTGAATCATGGGAAAGCCTCAACTCCTGCATCTGACATTTGTCACCTTTCCCACCCCCTTTGTGGGCCCAAAAACTCCACCGATTGAGAGCTGTAAATGGGGTAAAAAATTAAATGTGCTCCAACAGCCGGAGAGTGATTTTGTGTGAGAGTTAATGTTATTTAAATGTCCCCCAGATGGATGGGGTGTCACAGGCTGAGGGTGGGTCGCGCGGAAGGGGTTGCGGGACAATTGAGGCGTTGTTTATGGCGAGATAAAGCAGAAAGTCACACGAAAATCGTAAAAATGTGGACGGCAACAACTTTACAGCCCTTCCCCCGCCCGTCATAACCCATCGAAAAGGTACAAATTGCACCATGACGACCACTTCCTTGGGAAGAACGGGCAGGTAGATCGTCTCCCGGACGATTAAATTCCTCAACTCGCCCCAGCACCAATTCCACTTTGTTCTGTTTGGCAATAAAACAGTTCACTTTTACGATGATGATAATGTTCCATCCACCCCATCGCCGAAATATTGTCCAAGGCTGCACGGTTTAACATCCCTCTTCGTCCTCAGAGGGTGGCACACTTTGTCTCTCTCTCTTTCACCCCCACTGTTATATATGGCAGTCAATAAAAACATAAATATCCGCACAGTGGAAAGTCGTCTTCGTCGAACCCAAAAGTCACTCTTAACATCCGCAAATTGTTCCTCAAAAGTCAATTACATCGCACTTCCCATGAATTTTTCGTCATTCTTCAGCCAGAGCAGTTTGAAAATTCAAATTTTAAACCCCTAAACTGCCTCTTATCTTCCCATAAATTTGATAATATTGGTCAATTCCATTTGTTTTCTATCTACAACTTTCAGTTGATTTAACTGAGATTTTAACACTGATTTTGAATGTAATTTCACTGATTTTTAAATATTTTCTACAGGAAAAATATTCATTTGAAGGAATTTCTTAACAAATTGCAAATAGATAAATGTAATATAAATATCCAAATAGTTTTCGAAAAACCCTGCGATTTGCACTTGAAGTTTATAATCTCCTGAGCTTCGTCCAATATAATCAATTCCACAGCAAATGGTCTATTTGGCGTGCAATTGCATGGAAATTGGCCAACGATGACGCGGTTGTGCACCACCCCACCTGGATCATAAGATACTGGCGCGATGCTCGGGACTTTTATGGCATCCAATTAGCATATTTGAGAAGAGTGCGCGCACGAGGACGCGATATTTTCGCCATGCAGCAATAAAAGCACTCACCACATGGGAGATTATGCTCTCAAGGAGAGACGCCATGCTATCTAGTAATTCAAAATTTATTATGGATTCCTATCGAATTGTTTTATACACACAAACATTATTGTTTGCAAAGTGTGCCGGCATGTTCGGGGCGACTCTTGAGGACTATTTTATAAAACGGCCACCACAGATATAATTGAATGTAAATGCAGCGGCGAAAGGAGGGTCGCGGATTGAGTGCTGTGCAGATACACGAGGGAATAATTAAATTCATCGCGCAGATTGTATGGAGGCAGGCTGATGATCTTGTCACACACATTCTTGGCGACAGTCCTCTGCAGATCATCTTGCGCACTCAACACCCAGCGCCCGACGATTGAGCAGTTGACAGTCCGTCACTTAGCGCGGGATTGGGTTTACCCCCAGCACGCCCGGGTAGGTGAGATCCTCATCGCAGGAGCAATAAATAACCGTCGAGAAAATGTATAATTTTTCACTCCAATAAATTACCCCAGCGCAATTTGGCTCCAGAGCTCAAATGTGATCAACAGAAAGAATGCTTTTATCACACCCAATAAATATTTACACACAGCGATCAGGCGTTGTGTGATCAATATTGCGGGTGATAGTTTTGGAAGTTGGCTCGCTTCTGGAATCACCCGGCCCAGGATTGATCATCAAACACAATTCCATCGGGGCAATTGTGTAAACATTCGGGCAAATATTGATTGACATGATTGGGAGGAGAAGATATTCTGTGTGTTGTGCATCTGTGCGCGATCAGCGCGCGATGCTGCGGAAGATCGATAATGAGCCGGAGTTGTGCAGCCGTGATTGTTGGCGCAATCACGCGGCGCGGGGACAATTTAGAGCTCTGTGCGCCTGATTGACTGCGAGCCAGTCCAATTACTGATCAATTGGTGATATGTGTGGCGATCTTGCATTTGCCATGGGTGATAAATGCATAGGCGCTGCGCTGATCGCACTAATTGCGCCGTGCGCTGCAGTAATTAAAATACTTTGGCGGAAGCACGAAGACGAGAGAGGGCTGCCATTCATCATTTTTACACCATCCCGAGAGAGAAAGAGGGACACTTTTTGTGCATTTTTTCGCTCTCCTTTCCTCTCCCATCAACACCACAAGACGCCGCGCGCAGAGGAAGTTGATCGAGAGACTCTGTGTTGACTTTTGCTTTCATTAATTGTGCTGTCGAGTGACTAATTAATGAATTTTTTGAGTGTTTTGGCGTATGGACACTCTTTATGCTGCCTTAATTTATTGAGATGCGATAGCGTGTGAGTTCTGGATATCTCACACTGTGTCTTCGCCCCTCTCTTGCCCCCCCTTTGAATGGATTTCGTTGACGCTCTTTTCGGCCACCATAAATGGGCTTCATTCATGAATTTCGGGAGCACTTTTCTTTGTCTCGCGCTCTCTTTGGCTCAGTCTCAATTCCCGGAGCCAGAGATCAGCGCAATCTTCTGTCCTTGGACACACACTAAATAGAAAATCAAGTTCTTGTGACCTTAAAATGAGCTCTCTGTGGCATTCCGAGTGGTGTGTAATCTTAATGACTCCTCCAGTCGCGGCCAATTGACAAAATAATATCCACGCGCGCGCTGAGCCAGAGTGAATTGATTTCTGCAGCGGAAAAACCATTGAAACATCACAACATAGTGGCAAACTTTTGCTCGAAAATTCTCTAAATAGAGCCCTTCTATCGGTGCATCTTGAGACGAAGAGGAGCTTCCCGGCAAATGAGGGAGAGGAGCACGACAATTCCCCATGTGCAATGTGGCGTGAGAGTTAATGAAGAATTGTGAGATGTTTGTTGGCAATATTGGGGCCTCACAGACCCAGAGAATCACCGGTGATGACAGAAATACGAACAAGTCCCGATGACAGACACTTTCCGTGTGTGTTTCACATTCACAAAACACCCAACATCAACACAATTGTCCCAAGAAATGGTTGCCACCCTCGAAATTTGCGCCTCACAGCGACGACATCCCACTTCTCTCCGCCGTGATTCATGACTCCGCGGCCCAGGAATTTTTCCACCGTGAATTTCATGCACTCGCCCGTGCTCAAGATCAACAAATCATCCAGAGGAAATTCCAAACAACTCAAAACGATTGTTTTCCTCAGCCACGAGACACGACGAGGGCGTGTGTGGTGGGAAGGAGGCTCATCCTTCAGCCTGAAAATGCATCCGATGCAAGGAAGTGCGCACTCGATGACGACAGAAAACCTCCTCCTTCTCCGCTTGCCGAGCATTTGTTTACAACATTTTTTTGTGGTCTCTTTCAGTGGGAATAAATAATCAATCCATATCGCGCATCGTTCCACAAGGAACAGAGGACGCCAATACAGCAAGGGGGAGATAGTGCAGTCAGAAGTTGATTTAGAAAACTTTCTGAATGATTTTGACTCTGAATCAGCAATTTTATGTTCATTGGCGAATTAAAACAGATGATGTTGTGATCTGGAAAGCTTCCACAGCAGAAAAACTGGAAGCATTGGAGGCTCTGCACATCTTCTTAGTGGGACATAGAAACGTCAATAAGAAGGATGATTGTATTGGCGTTAGATGTTATGAAGAAGAAAAGGATTTCCACTAATGGAAAGCCTCCAAACGGAGTCTTTGAAGATCTCTCAGTGATATTTTGAGATTATGATCGAAAAAGATGCTCAAAAAGCATATTTCAGTGGATTCTTACAGAAATCTTGAACAAGTCTTGTACAAATTGAAGACACATTATCTCCCCCTTGCAATATACATATCGGAAGAGACACCACGTGGCTCCGAGAGTCCATGCTGAAGACTGGAAGTTTCACGCGATGGTCCGCGCTCCTAAAACTATTAATAATGCGAATGGGAAGCACTTCTTCCCGCCACGATTACAACCCAGAGAGATCTAACATCCCATCTATTTTGGCAATCAAATATCTCTTCCTTGTGGGCGCCACACCGAAAATAGACACAATTTTTCTGCCTTCATTAATTAAAAAGCATTATGGGTTGAGCGGATTGGGTAAACAAATGAAATTTCGTAGACGAAATCAATTAGACGCATTGAATTACTATATTTATTTTTATAGGAAATTTATTGGGTGTGTTACACACTCA